ATTTACCTACACTTATTTTATCTTTTCTAAGCAACTCAAACAAACGCCTAGTCCTTCTCCCGTACGTTCTCGCTTTACTATTTTGACTTCATTCAGGCGAAGATGTTATCCAAAAATGACCTAATCCTTGAAAACCAATTCGCGACTCAAAATAGAAGAACTTTTCACCGGCATACGCTTTGCTGTAAAAGATTTCGAACTTCCCTTCACGATCGAGAAAGCTACCGGATATGTTCTGGCGGATCGGCGGTTAAGTTTTGTCCAAGGAAACATAAGACCATATGAAAATAGCTAAAACCTGTTCTGTAAAATATTACCCTTTAAATCGATGTCTAATCGCTCTTCGGTTTTCCTACAGTCTGACATTCACGTTAATCGTTACATGTCCACTGTCCTCTCATTCTCTTCAAAATCACTTTCAAAACGAATCAACTCGTTTCCTTCCATTCTCTGTTAAAAAATCACCAACTTTCTTCTACTGTGACTGTCGAAATCAACACTTGACAGTGGAAGTATTATTTTGGATGGGCTAGCATGATATAATGTTTGTGTAGTATAGATTTTAATATAATTACGAAGTCACTAATATGCTGATGAGCACGAAGATTCAACAATCGGACGTTAGTCAGCTTTTTCGTTTTGATCTGCATACAGCTGTTTAAAACAGTGTCGCCTAAAAAGGCTTTCTTGCAAGAAAATCTCTTTGTCTGAAAAAAAACAGAATAGAAATTCTTTATTAAAAAAACTAACATCGGATTCAAGATTATCGACGTCGATTACCTTGGGTTAATAGTTTCCTAAGAACCATTGTTGCCTTTTCATTGATTTATAAAATGCTGCAATCTGACTGGACTAAAGCAACAAACTTTAACGATTTTCATCGAGATTATCATTTTTTCTTTCAGAAGAGGGAATGATAGATCAAATTCCATTGGAAGTATCAAAGACGAATGAAGATTCACTGGAGGAAGGTCAGTCATATATTGATCAACCAACACAGGTTAAGAATTAAGAATCTTTTTTCGAATAATCATATCTTTGTTTTTCTAAATTCAGAGGTGGTCGTGGTGGTCATGCTAATTTAGGCTTGCTATCGGATTGGTTGCTGAATCGTGTAGAAGTTTATATATTTCCTCTACTTAAAAGAGAGTATATCGGCTTAAACGCGCGTGACGCGATGACGTTTTGGCCAGAATATTTTCGTTTTTTCTCATACACTAACAAGCATAAAAAGCTTACTTCTTCGCTCATATATGCGTCCCTAATCGCACNTGTTTTCCAATATCTTCCAGATTGATTACTGCTTGACTTTGATAGAAAACTGTATTGCAACCGAATTCCGTTGTGATGTATCGTGCACCTTATAGAAAATATCATGCAAATAGAAATAGTGATGGTATAAACCTTCTTACCATAATTATTACTTGCTACAGCAATATCCTGAACTTTTGCCTGTAAATAGACTGGTATGAGTGATGAAACGATTACTCCAGTTATGACAAATAGCCCTGTCAAAATTAAACAGGTAGCCCAACATGGGGCCCATGTTGTTACTGATCTAAAATATTCAGGACAAAGGAAAGCATGAGCTAAAAAGAAATCAACGACCTTGTATTCATACCCCCATATTCCAGTCGAGTTGTTGTTCGAAGAATTGTTACTTCGATACGCCATTATATCTAAAATGAATAGGAACGGTAGAAACAAGTTCTATTAGATCCGTCGAAGGAATAAGCGTTCAGATTTCTAATATAGTATGTTGACCCTCTAGTTACGGCGTTTTCTAAGTGCATGTTGTGCATCTCGCTCTAAAATTGTGAGTGTGGAGTTCCCTTATTATAGGGAAATATTCAAAAGTATATCAAGATATTTTGATCCCACGCTAACATTAGGATAAGAAGGACCAACAGCGGTCGTTTCTATAGTCTAGATTATATTTTAATTGACATAATATGCGAAGAAGTTCAACGCCCATAAATGGGTTATTCACAGCCAAGGGTAAAAATATGTTTTTGTGTTTATACTCGAATATAAACTAGAAAATGACATAAATGAAATATTCAACATATTCTCGTCGATGTTCATGGCTAACTAAAAACAGAGGGCGAGTGTGGAAAATATTGATGTGAGGCTAGCACGAACAAACGATATGTTAGCTTTAAACGTTTTTACAAAGTATGTCCCGTCCATGAAAACTACACCATTCGATGCAGCATTAAATTCACAGTCGAATGATATAATTTCTAAGGACCGGAGTTATTTAGTAAAAAAGTTTTAGCTAACAAACTGATTGTTTGTTCTAGCTCCTTCGTGCTAGCTTAGCATCGATGTAGAAAATTTTATGATTGAAATTAATAGAGCTCATCGATTTTTCCTTGAAATAAATCTGATCAGGGCTGGAATACGCTCGCGTACGAATCCGTTTAAGAAAAGGTCGAATACATATATAAGATATCTTACATTAAGAACTATGGAACTATTTAAAGTGACAGTTTCGAAAAATCATGCATATGACATATTTTTTCCAACCGTAACCATAAAGAAAAATATTTTATTTTATATGTAGTAAGTATGTATTGAATTACAAGTTCAAATTCTTTACCATCCTCTATATTTTCATTCATCCTGCATATATTTATATGTCTTGGACAATAAGTCGAGTAAGATTTATATATGTTTCCTTATCAATCCTAAACTAGAAGGAGATGACTATGAAAAAACATATCCTAGAAGTAGTAGATTTCTTCGAAACTATCAACTTGAATGACTAGAATATTTCAATAATACGCAAATATGTGGCAAGATACAGTTTTTGCTACTACTGGAACATATCGATACTATTTCAAAACAATTCGGTCTACACCACCGAGAAAACAGCAATACGCCAAAACTAGAGTATCGTAAAGTATCACTAGAGTCACAGCTGAATCAAATGTTTTCCATCCGATCCGACAAGGTCCGATCGTCGAAACACTCGTCTTCGGATGTGGCGCACGACTGAAGTAAGAATCACCTGAGGTTGACTACTCAAGCTCATAATTCAGCGACACTCCGACCATGCGCCAACAATATCTTGCTGAAAAGCACAATTCAACTGGAGTATTGCTAAAATATATCGGAGTGCGGGTGGAGTAGACTACTGTATTCCTCGCGCGATTTAGAATGCGAGTGGAATAATGGAGTATCGTTGTTTCTCTCTTTGAACCTACTCACAGTCCTATACGAATATCTACCTTCCAAGTTCAATTAGGCAACAACACTATCCACCTCCATGTCCTACTGTCTGAAGAAGTATGTGAATAAAAAAACATACAGTAAATGAATACCTTTCATGGAAAAATATATGTATACACTAAAAACTGAAAAGGCCAGCACAAGAAGGTTATGTACCGCTTTTTTTATACATATAACTTAATCCGAGCTTCATACTTACCACATATCATCGAAGTTTCAATATGACAAGATTCGAAATAACACCAAATTATTTATTCCTCCATTTTCTCTATTCCTCACGCATGAGCGAGCGCGATCATCAACTTACATCTGCGTACGCAAAAACTCTTCACGCAGCAAAATCCATATCGCTGATCCTTAACAATATTCCCAATAGAGTATATACCTATTCATATGTGACAGCCGTCTTACATAAAAAAAAAGCCTTCTACTAGTGCTTCCTTATACCTAAAGACAGAACACGTATTGCTGATCGTAACCCGTCTTAAATCAAAATGCGCTTCAACGTTCCGTATCTCCCTTTCTTTGAAAATGCGCCTCACGATAATCTACCTGTATTTTTTAACAGGCATGTATTGCTGCTTCTCGCTGGGCTCAAAAATAAAAAAGTACGTATTACTGATCGTGACCTGTCTTGGATAGAAAATACGCATAAACATTCTGTATCTCTCTTTCATAGAAAATGCGCATCACGACGGTCTACCTGTAATTCATAACAAGCGTGTATTACTGCTTCTGACTGGTCTCAAATAAAAAAGTACGTATCACTGATCGTTACCTGTCTAAACTCGAAAATGCGCATCACGAGGCTCTGCCTGTATTTTATAACAAGCATATATTGCTGCTTCTGGCTGGGCTCAAAAATAAAAAAGTACGTATTACTGATCGTAACCTGTCTTGACTCGAAAATGCGCATCAACTTTCTGTATCTCTCTTTCTTTGAAAATGCGTATCACGACGGTCTACCTGTAATTCATAAGAAGCGTGTATTACTGCTTCTGACTGGTCTCAAAAAAAAAGTACGTATTACTCATCGTGACGTGTCTTGGATAGAAAATACGCATAAACATTCTGTATCTCTCTTTCATAGAAAATGCGCATCAACTTTCTGTATCTCTCTTCCTTTGAAAATGCGTATCACGATAGTCTATCTGTAATTCGTAACAAGCATGTATTACTGCTTCTGGCTGCCCTGAAATAAAAAAGTACGTATTACTGATCGTGTCCTGTCTTGGATAGAAGATACGCATAAACATTCTGTATCTCTGTTTCATAGAAAATGCGCATCACGATGGTCTACGTTTGTTTCGGTGGAAGCGGTGAAGCGGATGATGAGCCCGGACGAATGGATCCCCTGACACGGGAGGCCTTTCTGTCTTGAAATGGTAGGGAATTATGGCAGGTCACTATAGAGGATGTTGACTAGGACTGTGATTTGTTGGCTTCCGATTGAGCGCACGATGTGCTGAGATTCCGATAGAGGAAGATGATATTGATTATATTTGTACATTGGGAGTAAATATGAATAGAAATAAGAGGATTATGAATGAGTGCGTGGAAAATCGAAAGCAAAAAAACGCAATAGACTATATCTGATGCAAGGAGAGAAAAGAAACAGTTACTACAAGAATTAAGGTAAATGTGAAGAATGAGGGAAAGAAAATGAACATACATGAATAATTATTTGGAAGTAATTTTGAGTGATGTTGCGTTTTATATGCTTGCAATAGTACTAGACGTTTAGTAAAGTTTCGATTTACATATGTTCAAAGCATGGCAGAGGTGCACTCCTGTTTTATGTTTTTGTCAAGTTCATCCAAACGTTTCAGTGCAGCGGCTTGTGCAGAAGTAGGTTGAAGTTGTAGTGTCTTCACGTCGAGAGGTCGAAAGATAACTGTATGATGCCCGTTCTTCACTCTGCTTAGTGGTACATATATCGATGCTACTTGCAGTGTCCCAGGTGGAACGTAAAGATCGACTAGGATTTTGTTCATTGTGAGCCCTTGCGTCTTGTATATAGTTAAAGCGAGGGCAGGTACAATGGGTAGTTGCGTTCTTGTAACTGGAATGATTTTGGTATTTTTCTCCCACGTTGCACTCGATCGAGTAGATGCTCGAAGAGTTGTTCCATAAGAACAGCGAATCGCTTTTTGATCAATGGAATAGGAATCAGTTTGGGACAAACACCGTGAGAATTTGTTTCTACTTGTGATGTATTCATTTTCACGAGTGCATACAATGATTTTCGTATGTAGATCGTATTTGAGGGAAATACTTCGCTTTTTATCTTGAAATCGCTCGGATCCTCCTGATCATCGTATACGAGCTCTCGATGGATTCCTTGTGTACCATTCGAAAGTCCTAATTCACACTAGGGAGGAGCGGGTTACTCAGACCCGGGCTCGGATCCGGATCCGGCTTTAGATTAGCTTGAGATTTCAAAAATATGAAATAATATGAGACTCAGAATACGTAACAGTAGATTAGTTGTATATAACCTGTATATTTATCTTTCCAAAAATCGACAACATCAGCATATCTCATCATTTTCTGACAAATAGTAATTAATTGTTCACGTTTTTCGTCGTATAAATGATCAGCATGTCGACTAACCTAATGAAAAAAGGAACAGTATACTTTCTCTGCATTCACGATAGATTGGAAGATTAATGTACTTACTATCGAAGAGTGTGGAAGTAAATTTCTAATATTAATTTCATGCGATATGGGTAAGCATCGACCAACATTGAAAATGTTTTGTGCCAGATTTCTAAAGCTCATACCATTGATTGTCTTGAACGGTCGGCAATCAAGCACAACTAATTCAGTACAAGCAGCGTTGATTTCCTGTCTAATCCGATTCGGAATAGCAAGTTCGTTTTTGAATGATTTATAAAATAGATTAATTGTTGACTGAGTATTAGCAGGTGTTGCCTTCATATCGTGACAATGATTGATATGCTTTGACGAAGAACTCGTTTCATAAGAGTGCTTGTAAACAAATAATCATTCACACTTATGACAAATAACATATTTTTGCTTCGCATCGTTCACATAGATGCAACTAAAACTATTCCATACAGCTGAGGACTTTGACGTTATCGCCGGCTTCACGATTTTCAATGATGAATTTTCATTATCAATCAATTCTTGAATTTCTTCTTTGGTTAGCATAATGTTTATATGATTAAAATTAAAACAAAAATTCAGTGTGCTTTTGCAAGCATCAAATCGATTAGTAGAGCAATAGTGATACAACACAGTAAGAATAAATATGGACGATCAGATCACAAGTAATAGTGCACATTGTAAAGATTTTTCTACTGGTAACCAATTAAAACTAGTCACGAAGTTATTTCTTTACGTTTACTTATACACAGAGGGTGCTATATATTGGTAAAAATAATCCGGGTCCGGGTCCATTTTATTTCGAATTCTCCGGTTCGATTCGATTAGTCTCTGAATCAGATCCAATTCGACTCGGTTCGGTTTCGACCTCTGGATCGTACCGGGTCCAAAAAAATGTGGACCCGCTACTCCCTAGTTCACACGCAATGTTATCGGTGAGAAGTACAGGTGTGTTGAGTCCCAAGGCTAAGAGACCGAGTAGAAGCTCGGTCGTGTTATCTCAGAGATGGATGTTACTTCGAAGTTCGTTTATGAAGATTAATGATTACGTCGCCGGATATTGAAGAGGATATTTTATTTATCCCATACTTATACGCTTGACTAAAGCCGATGTCATACGGTCATACAGGTTTTTTCTGAAAATCGGTATTCTTTATTTGGGAAAAACGATTTTTAATCCTAAAAAAACTAACGCCAAATTCGATCTTCTCGACCCCAAAGCCCTTCGCCCGCGACCCTTCTAAAAACGTCCTTTGCTTAAAAAATTGATCTATAAAAGAATTTAACAAGCTCACATGAGATTCTAGCTCTCCGACCTCAATAACCCACCGGTCAAATTTTATAATAAAAAAAATTTTCGTAAAAAAATAGCCCTTCGTCTAAACAATACTTTTCTTTCAAAGATCGAGAACACTGAAACCAGATTCGAAGTCTCCGCATCGAAAAATCGATTTTGCCGTGTTTTTTTACCCTGCGGACACACAATCAAGTAAGCTGACAATTAATATTTACGGGAATCTTCGCTGCGAGAAAGAGAACAATTGACGTTACACAACAGCGAACGATGATATTCAAACAACAGAAGCGCGCTCTACAACATGAATAGATGAATGAGGAAAAAATGTGTAAACTAGTTTCTTCGTTTCAGACTAGTACTAGTGACAGTTATTTGTTGACTTCGCCATTTGGAATTGAACAGTTTCATCAATTCACAACGAAACAGTTTACTCGATAGAGTGAACAGATAAAAACTTAAACATGGAACTGTAAGAGACACGAAACCACAAACGTTGTAAAACAAATTGTCTTTAGCTGATTGAAGATCATCGATGACTAAACTTGATCGGACTGACGTATAAATGAATTGTACCGATGGTAGACTTGCTGTGAGCATGAATATGACACATTGAACAAACATCATCTGAATCAGCTGACGATCTGTAGTTTTGCGACGTTGATTCTCAGTTCGAACTGCAACATTGGTTGCACCTGTGCGTTGAATCGATCCACGAATATGTTGAACAGTACGCAGACCGAAACAAAGCATGACTAGTGGTGGGCCAACGCTAAATATCACCAAATTCCACACGCCGAAAAACGTTTGATAGATGCCTGACATTGGAACACATGTTTGTTGGCGCATATTGATTTGAAAATAGACAGGAATATGAAAAAGAGCTATACCCACTAGTAAACTAGTCACAGGAATAGTACGAGAAGCAGAATGAAGACTACTGTAGGCGCGAAGTGTTGCAGAAGATGAACTGCATAGAAATCTGCAATACATAAAACAATGATGATTATAGTCTTGCATCCTCTTCTTTACCTATCAACACAAGCCAAAGCGGTAAACCAAGCATACTGTGCTCTATTGAAATATAAAAAATATCGCTGAAATAGCACTTCAACAAGTCTCTCCATTGATTACCTAGTCCATTGTTGTATAAATGTGATCACTTTGCATGCGATTAATGAATTCGTATAGATATTGATAGCATATCCAGCCTGTAAAAGCCGCAATGGTATATTAATGAGAACAACGCCGGCGCCACTCATCGATGCTGCCAAGAAGTACCATGTGCATGAATTTGAACGGAGCGTAGGTCGTGTAAATACATAGACACTGCATGTATGACCAATAGTGCCGAGACTGATCATCAAATAACACCAAACTTGTACGAAGATGATTGTATTCTGTCTAATGGTGGAGGCTTCCGTGATACTCACATTTGAAGACGACATTTTGCGAAGGAATGCGTTGACGGTAGTATACTAGTTTGACTTTTCTGAATGTGTAGTTGATAGAAATGCGAAACTACGTATTGTTATGACAGTTGGTGTTATTAACAAATCAGTAATCCTTCGTTACTTTAAGTAGAATCTGACACTTGCGAATCCATCTGTTAATTTACACCAAGTAGTGTCATTCCATATCCTTTTTTGTATTTGAAAAGGCCAAAGATTCATTAATTTCAATGGAAATCAGGTCAGATTTCATTAGCACACTGGTACTGCTAACAACATTCACATTCATTCCAAAAAACGACCAGTTTTCTTGTTGTTAGATGAATTTTAGAAAAGAAATTAGCTTCCTCTTATCCAAAAAGCAGTGGGGTTCTGGGTATAGGAAAATGATGCCTTCCATTAGATGAGGACAACTTGTTAACACTTATTTACCTGATAAGACCTAGCGAATATTAGATGCATAACGCTTGAAATGCTATGATTTCTCAGCGTTAATCGTCTAAATACAATTTCATATCACTAATCACTGCCTTCCAGTCTAGACAATCCATATATATTTGTTTTCGATCTTTACTATAGCTATATGGTTACATTCAATGTATCAAAAATATTAAGCAAGCATGCACAAATAGACGAGAACAAAAAGAGATGAGATATAACATCACCCATGACTTAGGGTCGGAGTACAAATACGGGGTATTCGAATGCTTTTGTAATCAAATTACATCCTACCGACACCCACACCCTATACCTCTCATCGCTGTTTGAATTAGCGCCCTTCTTTTCTTCCAAAGTTCAGTTTGAAATATAATAGACCATTGCATGCTTAGTCCCATGCTCTGACGATGAAATATACCATACTTAAAAATCCCGGCCCGCCACTGCTCATGAATGATGATTCTAGATGAATTCGCACAGGTCTTGCAGCATTTATTGTATGATTCGGATGAGTTTGGGTGTTAGATGAGGGTGGGTGAAATTTTTTTAATGATTGGAATCGATAATGATCATCGAGTTGTATCTGGAAGTGAAGAAACGAACCCGTGTGTGTTTGTCTGAAATTTTCGCGTTTCTTAAAGTTTTTTTTTGCATTTTTTATGAATAAGGAAAGTTATTTTCTCGGAATATTTTTTAGAATAGATAGAGTTCAGCGAGTGCCACCTGGAACGAATCTGATCAGAGTTGGAATGCAATCGTGTGCGAATCCTTTCAAGAAAAGGTCGAATCAGTGTCCAAGATATCTTACATATTGATTGTTGTTGTTTGATCGAATTCGAATTCGAACATGAATTATCTTTTTCATCGTGAATTTAATTTTTGGATTTTTCAAATGATGTTTTTCTGTTGTCTTTTATCCTTTTTATCGAATTCATAACGAATAAGAAAGATTTCTCTTGAAAAAGAAACTTCATTATATTTGTAAGATTTAAGACTTCTTCGTTCGAAAAATTTCCATTTATACCGACATTTTCATTCATATTTGATGAAATCTTTTTTACAGAAAAAGGTATGACATTTCTTTGGTTTGTTATATCTAATTTATTGATCAAACGTCGGAAATTTTGCCATATTGAAGACAAATAACATCGATCTCTTTTTCGTTTTATACAATGTTCTTTTCGAATAGTAAAAGATGTTTCGGAAGTGATGGTTTCCCAAGATAATATTCAATCTGATCATTGAAATATGATATTAACCTTATAGGATCATAAGGGGGTATCGTTCACAATTTCGTAACAACAGCTATGACAGGAATCAAAGTCACAGCCAACACACACTTTTAGGCAATATATATCGACTTGATTACTTAACAAGAAATCAAGTAATAACACAACTGAATCGATACAGTTAAAGACAAGCCCGCCACAAAAATAGAATATCGTCAAATACGTGAGGATCCAGACAAAAATTTCATCTAGTTAACTTGGTACGCTAATAATTCAGTTATCATCACCGAAGCCAATTCGAAGACTGCTATAACAAAACACAGAAAACTATCGCCTACGACACCCTTATCGCAGTTCGAGATCAACATGCAACATTCCCATCATGAGAACGATCCCGTTTCCGACTTAATAGTTCTTCCAATTGCCAGATCAACGTCAAAAACCACCCAAATAGCTTTTACCTCCGCGCAACCTCAACTAACACAGCCAATGAATGAATAGAACGTGATTATATATTAGTTTATCGTATCAAAATATAATATTTGACACTTTGACAGAGTTACAGATGTTCAAAAATAAACTGATATGTCATACATATTCGATATTTTATTATTGATTGTTAGTTATTAGTTAAATATAGAAGATAAGATTATGTCAATCGAAATTAATTAAAGCTCATTCTAGTGTACTATAAAACGAGATGAACTCATCAACAATGGAATCATTTGAACGCACGATTAAAATAAAATGGCAGATCATCACGACACTCATAAAAAAAGAGGGCACTCTTGTTTTGAATGGATTCAATTGATCGCAACAATAAGTATTCCTATTATAATTGCGATATATACAATTATCGAAAATAATAATTCTGCATCAATTGCTGCTGATAACAATCGTAAAGACAGGGAAATCGCGAATAATAATCGAAGATCTGAATTTGACTTATCTCAACAAAGTCAACAGAAAGAACGTGATCTTGCTGCTGATCAACAACAAGAAGATATTCTTGTGAAATATCAAACTTTTCTTTCAAATTTAATACTTCAATATGGTAAGGATTTAGAGAAATCATCAAATGTAAAAACTGTTCTACACTTTATGACACTTACTGCGTTAAATCAATTGGATATACGACGAAAACGTATACTTATCCGAAGTCTTCATGATGCAAATTTAATTACTTACAAACGAAATGACAACAAAGATTATCCAAGTGCTGTAACACTTGCATCAATCGATTTCAAAGATATAACATTCGGTTCACCACTCAATTCACCAGACGAATATCCCTTGCATCAATACATTCATTGGAAGTACCTTTGGTTACCAGATGCTATTCTAACAAATGCATCATTTCGTCATACAAATTTAGAATGTGCTACTTTTACTCGAGCTCATATGGATTCTGTGGATTTTAGCTTTGCCATTCATCCAATATCAAAATGTTTCGATGATCTTCGTGAAGTTGCAACAGATTTTACGCGTGCTTCATTAGTTAACGCTAATTTACGCAATGCTAAATTTCGTTCTATTGATTTTTCTCGAGCTAATTTAACATTTGCCAATATGCGTGGATTTTCTTGTGAAATGTGTAAATTTTCGAATACGATATTATTTCAAGCTGATTTAAGTTTGTCTTACTTTTATCATAGTTTGCTTATTAATCAGTCACTTGTGGATTTCTCTGGTGTTAAATTAAAACAAGCAGATATTCATGGAGCATATTTTCGATCGATAGACTTTCAGTATTCGGATTTGTCTCACTCTCAATTGTCACGCGTAACAATCAGAAACAGTATATTTAGTAGAACAACAATGAAAAATTGTTCTTTTATAAAAAGCGTCATTCAAGAAACACTATTTGAAAATACAATATTAAATACAATTGATTTTAGTTATACTAAATTATATAATGTTACATTTAATAATTCTAATATGACCAACGCGAATTTCAGTTTTATTAAATGTGTTTATTGTGCTTTTATAAATGTTAAATTAGAAGAGACGATTTTTAACAATGCATCATTACTTTTTTCGAAATTTATTAATTGTAGTATTCATATGAATCAATTAGATGGAGCAATTGATCTTCTTGGATCAACATTGTCTAATGGAACTAATGAAGTAATTTTAGGTACAAAAGAACCATATTCAAATAAAACAATTTATAATATTCGAATACAAACTGGTGATGAACCCAAAGCAGGAACTGATGCTGATGTTTTTCTGCAAATGCTTGGTGAAAAAAATTCTACAAATAAACTTCAACTTCAACCAATTGATTTTATGGCAAAAAAATTTGAAAAAGGACGAATGAATGAATTTACATATGAATTCGATGATCTTGGCGAAGTCTGCCATTTGTTTTTCTTTTAAATTAGTTATGAATTACTTTTATAGATTAAATCTGTAATTATTGGGCATAATGAAGAAAATCCCGGTGAAGGATGGTATTTAGATTGGATTGAAATTGATATATCGATGCGTAATCAAATTTATAGGTTAGATTTCTTCGGAACTGTTTTATTACTTCGTGTTCTTTCTTTTCTTTCGTAGATTTCCTTGCTATTGCTGGTTAGACAAAGATCAAGATGACGGTGAAATTGTTCGTCAATTAACATTTTCAAATGTCACTGGAGCATCAATTACTAGTAAGTAGAAAAATAACTGAATAGATTTTCTTCTCTCTCTCTATATATATATATAAAGAAGAATGCTTGTTTGATTCTTGTTCTCTATACATTCGGTCCCTGTAAGAGTTAGCGTCAGCAAATTTTGCGTGATGCTCTTATTTAAATCCAGGAGAAGGTCGACAGGGAGTTCGCGCAGCTAAAGGAAATGTGAGAGGGTGGTTGGATGAAATTTCACGACTTTTTTAAAGATACTCTTGAGAATTCTGACAGATTTGCGACTATCTTCTTTCTGGCTATATCTCTTTATGCTATGCTTGGATCAAGAGCTACTGTCTGACCTCACTATGAAAGTATCAGAATATATTTCCTATCTGAAAAGTCGGAGTAGGCAGTTGGTTTCTCAGTGAGACGAGAACGAATAAAGAGTACAACTGAAATCTTCACGATTGCGTACAAGAGATCCCACGATTGAATTCTAGCGTAGTTTAATACTTAGTAATATTTCTTTAGTCACATTTCCAAAAAAGATGTATCAAAACGAGAACTAAGTTTAGCAAAGATTTTTGCTTGCTCCTAAAATGATGTAGAAATGATTCAAACAGAGATTGGCCAAGTAGATTCGAAACCAATGTTTCCTGCGAGGATTAGAACGGGAGCGGGAGTAAGACTACTTTTTAAAACTATAATGACAACAAACACTTCTTTTTACTGCGACCTATAGTTTATGCGTGTTTCTAGACCTTCTGTAGAATGTCGAATTACCAAAGTCATGAGTCAGACATTATTTTTTAAAACATTGGAAAAATTATTATCTAGATATATTCAAAGTGCATCCGAGACTTAAAATAGGATCAAGATCTCTTTTTGACTGAAACGTGAATAGAACCAGGATAGTAGCGAGATGCTAATACCAAAATACAGAGAAAAGTGACCAGTAAGCGAAATCCGACTGCATCTTACGACGTCCAGGATCAGTAGTTTATATAGGAACTCATAACATCATCATTTTCTAATATGTTCGGCATAAAATATGAAGTATTTTCATTAGTCATTTCATATTTTAGTGAAGCTAATTTAAAATATTTTTGATTTAGCTGTTTTATATGTAATAACAGTTACCACTGGTGACAAGGATAGATCTGGTACAAATGCAAATGTATTTTTAACAATTTATGGTGATAGAGCAAATTCAGGTAAAGAATAAAACATCTATTTATTATAATAGGTCAAATTGTTTTTTGTTCTAGGCGAACGCGAATTAAAAGAATCGACAAAACCGAAAAGTCAGTTTGAACAGGGAAAAGTATATTTAATTCTTTTGAAAATTTCGTTTCTAATAAATTTTCTTATAGATCGATACTTTTCATATGCATATGGAATCATTAGGAACATTAAGAGAGATCTACATCCGACATGATAATACTGGCGTAAGATTATTAGACTCTCATTTTTATTGTTTTTCTTATAATAATCTATAGCACAGTTGTATAGTTGGTGAAATCTTTGATTATTGGATTGTCATTTATGCGTGTCAGTCAAGAGGACAATAATTGAGATGTACATTATGTAGTCCCCGCTGTTTCTATACCTTATTGTCATTCCTATTTTTCCAAAACTTTTATGAAAAATTTCTCTAATTATAACATATTGAAGATCATTACTAAAATATACTAAAATCTTTCGTATATCTCTATTAGTTTTGTCCTGGATGGTACCTTGAACATGTTATGATCCGTGATTCTAAAGCAAATCAAGAGTAAATATGAGAATTATTCAACAGATTTTATTTATTTTTGAATTTAAGGTATTTTTTTTCAGTTCGAGACTGGTTGCGAGAAGGCAAAGGTGATGGTACGATTTTCCGAAAAGTATTGGCTTCTGCCAGTAGACAATTTGATTTACCAAGAACTATATCTCAATTATCATTTATTCATGATGAACAAATCAAAAGTAAATTTTTTTAATTTTCAGCCTGTTTCCTATCTGAACGAGAGGATTATAGCATCGTAAATACGATTGTTAAAATGCTAAAAGTTTATTTGTTTGTTTACATAATCCAGCCCGATTGCAGCATTTTATAAATCAATGTATCTAGCATTTTCTTGCGGTTTTATACAACTGAAATTAATTTGTTTTACAGTTTGTTAGAATTTTATGAAAAGTTACTAATAGTGAAAACTCTTATAATTCTTCCAGGAAAATGGCCAGCGAATCTAAGAAATGAGCGCTAAGTTGTTTTTATCCGTCATTTTATTCAAAAATAGCATTTTACACTACTTATGAAATTTGTGTTATTAACTTGGACGATAAATTCCATGTTGATACAAATACTAAGGTGTATATGGTCATATTTGGTGACAGTAGCCATACAGGTTCGATGGATTTATTTAATTTAATTTAAACATCATTTTTATAAACAAGTAGCGCTCATTCGGCGGATTCGCTGGCCCTCTTCTGAAAGAATTAGAAAAATTCTAGATAAAACCTTCTACGTAGGTCTCAATCTAGTTGGCTTCGAATTGAAGTCACTTCTATGCACATTCGTTCCTAGTAATCCCTGTCTACTTTATTCATGTCGAATTACTTTCAATTCCTTTGTCGAAAGATAAAAACAAAAGGCACACTGTTTCTAGATATTTCTTCATCAACTCTCTCCCGACTATTTAAAATAAAAAAACAATTTACCTAGACTTATTTTATCTTTTCTAAGCAACTCAAACAAACACCTAGTCCTTCCCTCATACGTTCTCGCTTCGCCATTTTTACTTCATTTGGACGAAGATATTATCCAAAAATGACTTATTCCTTGAAAAACAATTCGCAACTCAAAATAGAAGAATTTTTCACCGGCATACGCCTTGCTGTAAAAGATTTCGAACTTCCCTTGACGCTCGAAAAAGCTACCGGATATGTTCTGGGGGATCGGCGGTTAAATTTTGTCCAAGGAAACTTAAGACCATATGAAAATAGTCAAAGCCTGTTCTTTAAAATATTACTCTTTAAATCGACGTCTGATCGCTCTTCGGCTTTCCTCCAGTCTGACCACTCACGTTAGTCGTTACATGTCCAATTTCCTCTCATTCTCTTCAGAATCACTTTCAAAACGAATCAACTTGTTTCCTTCCATTCCCTGTTAAAAATCGCCAACTTTCTTCTGCTGTGACTGTCGAAACCAATACTTGACAGTGGAAATATTATTTTGGATGGCTAGCATGATATGATGTTTGTGTAATATAGATTTTAATATAACTACGAAGTCACTAATATGCTGATGAGCACGAGGATTCAACAATCGGACGTTAGTCAGCTTTTTCGTTCTGATCTGCATACAGCTGTTTAAAACAGTGTCGCCTAAAAAGGTTTTCTTGCAAGAAAATCTCTTTATCTGAAAAAAAACCAGAATAGAAATTCTTTATTAACAAACTAACATCGGATTCAAGATTATCGACGTCGATTCCCTGGGCTAATAGCTTCCTAAGAACCATTGTAGCCTTTTCATTGATCTATAAAATGCTGCGATCTGACTGGACTAAAGCAACAAACTTTAACTATTTTCATCGAGATTATCATTTTTTATTTCAGAAAAGGGAATGACAGATCAAATTCCATTGGAAGTATCAAAGACGGATGAAGATCCACTGGAGGAAGGTCGGTCAGATATTGTTCAACCAACAGAGGTTAAGAATTAAGAATCTTTTTTCAAATAATCAAATCTTTGTTTTTCTAAATTCAGAGGTGGTCGTGGTGGTCATGCTAATTTAGACTTGCTATCGGATTGGTTACTGAATCGTGTAGAAATTTATATATTTCCTCTACTTAAAAGAGAAAATATACGCACAAAGGGTTAATGTTCGTTCGTTTTTTGTCCGTTCGCTTTTGTTTGTTCGTTTACGTCATATTAAAAAAAATAAAATTCTTATGAGGGTTGACCGAAGGGTAACCGGAGTCGAGAAATTCGAATCTGACATAACCGTAACATTCATGGTATACGATATTTATCAAATGAGTATGCACATTTAAGATATGTTTCTATAAGAAAAGTAAGAATTTCAGTTTCATCACTGTAATTTGTGAGTGTTGTATCATAGGGTGAGAGTGCCGGTGTCGGTAGGATCTGATTTGGTTACAAGGGCATTCGAATACTTCCCTATTTGTACTGTGACCCTAAGTCATGCGTGATGTTATATCTCATCTCTTTTTGTTCTCGTCTATTTGCGCATGCTTGCTTAATATTTTTGATACCTTGAATGTAACCATATACCTATAGTAGAGATGGAAAGCAAATACATATGGATTGTCTAGACTGGTAGGCAGTGGTTAGTGATATGAAATTGTATTTAGACGATTAACGCTGAGAAATCATAGCATTTCAAGCGTTATGCATCTCATGTTTGCTAGGTCTGATCAGGTAAATAATTGTTAACAAGTTGTCCTCATCTAATGGAAGGCATCATTTTCCTATACCCGTAACCCCACTGCTTTTTGGATGTGGGTGAGGATGCGTTGAAAAAAGATAGTGTACTTTTATCCATCGAAATGTGTAGGTTATTTAAGCATTTCATCAGCTTCAAATCGAATACATAATTGAATTCAACTGTTCTCTCTGCGAAACGAGGATCATGCATCGAGTAAATATCACGGAAAAAAATGTGCGTCCTTCGGATTTCATCCGAAAGTTATGTGTGCTGGAAAAAGTGTACCAGATAAGAGACATAACGACTCGTAAGGAAATATCAATTTTTCTTTTAAGAACCCAGGATTCGCCCGTCCAATCAGTCTACACCGTCAAAAATTTGATCACGGCCACATGAATCTTTCAGAAGTTATCGTAGAAATGAACCGATGGAGGACACTGATAGATCTTAGTAGTGTGCTCGTTTTTTCAGTATGCTCCGGGGATAGGATGCTTCAAATCTATCGTCAGTAAAATATTGTTGGTACTTTTGAGTACGCTAAATTAAAAGCCGGATTCAATTTAAAAAGAGCAGTTGAATTTCTAACAGATTTCTACGCTGTATATCCATGCATGAAATATTCTGACAGGTGGTGTTACATAACTACCTCGATCATCTGATTTATTTCGATGTTCTTTCTTTTCTATGTACCTCTCTTTGTTTCTATACATATGATTCGTTCTTTCTTCTTCATCTGGGCACTTTTGTTCCCAAGTGAATTTGGACCTATACGTTCTTTTTGTCGTATGGACACAAGGAGAAGTTCCTAGTTGTAACGATAGTGATATCGTTCGAGGAGGTGGAGAATCTCAAATTATTACCAGTTTTCACCAAGAACCTCTTGTGAAAATTTTGCACTACGTTAGAAAAAAACGACTAAGTTCCTGTTCAAATCAAAGCCATACTAGTATCTTCTAAGCGCGAGATTCACTTCTCTATAAAAATTACAAATTTCTAAAGCCAGTGGATATGCAGCAGTAACTATACCCCTGTTCGTTGTGAAGGTGGCAGATATCCAGACATCAGATATTTACTTTCCCATGGAAATTGCAAATTTCTAAAGCCAGTGGATATGCAGCAGTAGCTATACCCCTGTTCGTTGTGAAGGTGGCAGATATCCAGACATCAGATATTTACTTTCCCATGTAAATTGCAAATTTCTAAAGCCAGTGGATATGCAGCAGTAGCTATACCCCTGTTCGTTGTGAAGGTGGCAGATATCCAGACATCAGATATTTACTTTCCCATGTAAATTGCAAATTTCTAAAGCCAGTGGATATGCAGCAGTAACTATACCCCTATTCGTTGTGAAGGTGGCAGATATCCAGACATCAGATATTTACTTTCCCATGGAAATTGCAAATTTCTCTTCTCAAGCGAATAGATGAACGATGCCGATGAAAATGTATTATGGAATTTTGCCATAAAATGTGTTCGATTAGCGCAGATTATGTGCAACGGGTGATTGAAATGTAATTATCATAGTTTATTTTATGTCTGAATACCATATGTGTGTTGAGAAGCCGATGGTATACCCAAGTGAAAATGTGTCCAGAGGGTCCGATCGATCCCGTTTATTTCCAACAGAAAGCTGTCGGAAATTCACCGGGATCCCAATCAACGGAATCGGACATTGGAACAAATCGGCACGTGTACATAATCGATCTATATCCTGTCGGATTTCGGTGATTGGTTTGATTCACCTGTGTACCTATCAATATGTATTTGTTGTATGTCTAGAGTAGTATTGGTGGAAATAATTGAACATAAATATCTGAACCGATTTGAACCAGAATGTTAACTGGATTAGTTTGAAGGAAATAACGGTAGTTACATAATTAAAACGTGTTGAGATGAGAAAGACTGCAAGTTGATAATTCATGTTGGAACGTAAGATAAAATTGCAAAATGTGTGGCGTGTGCGAGTTTGTTGACGAACATCAGCCGAAGATGTTGAAAAAATTACTTCAAAGGAGCGAAGTCGAAAAAACTCGTGATGCATACGTGAACTAGTGCCTCTCATTTAAGTTATTTAAGAATGGATACATATGTAATCAGATCGTGTAGAATCTGCATAACTAGACGATCACATGAAGATATAATTATATACCTTCGGCGTAGAGTCACAAGCAATAAATAGAACGACAAAAAGAATTTGAACAATCAAGTTTTTTGTCNGATATGCTTGTGTTTTATCCATATAATCGTTAGATTTTTTGTTATAATCATCGATCATTCCTAAATGGAATACTTTGGATGTATCTGTTTTACGTAATAGAGGAGGTGGAGAATCTCAAATTATTACCAGTTTTCACCAAGAACCTCTTGTGAAAATTTTGCACTACGTTAGAAATAAATGACTAAGATCCTGTTCAAATCAAAGTCATACTAGTATCTTCTAAGCGCGAGATTCACTTCTCTATATTAATTGCAAATTTCTAAAGCCAGTGGATATGCAGCAGTAGCTATACCCCTATGTGTTGCGAAGGTGGCAGATATCCAGACATCAGATATTTACTTTCCCATGTAAATTGCAAATTTCTCATCTCAAGCGAATAGATGAACGATGCCGATGAAAATGTATCATGGAGTTTTGCCATAAAATGTGTTCGATTAGCGCAGATTATGTGCAACGGGTGATTGAAATGCAATTATCATAGTTTTATTTTATGTCTGAATACCATATGTGTGTTGAGAAGCCGATGGTATACCCAGGTGAAAATGTGTCCAGTGTGCCCGATCGATCCCGTGTATTTCCAACAGAAAGCTGTCGAAAATTCACCGGGATCCCAACCAACGGAATCGAACATTGGAACAAATCGGCACGTGTACATAATCGATCAATATCCTGTCGAATTTCGGTGATTGGTTTGATTCACCTGTGTACCTATCAATTTGTATTTGTTGTATGTCTAGAGTAGTATTTGTGGAAATAATTGAACATAAATATCTGAACCGATTTGAACCAGAATGTTAACTGGATTAGTTTGAAGGAAATAACGGTAGTTACATAATTAAAACGTGTTGAGATGAGAAACACTGCAAGTTGATAATTCATGTTGGAACGTAAGATGAAATTGCAAAATGTGTGGAGTGTGCGAGTTTCTTGACGAACATCAGTCGAAGATGTTGAAAAAATGACTTCGAAGAAGCGAAGTCGAAAAAACTCGTGATACATAGCTGAATTAGTGCCTCGCATTTAAGTTATTTAAGAATGGATACATATGTAATCAGATCGTGTAGAATCTGCATAACTAGACGATCACATGAAGATATAATTATATACCTTCGTCGTAGAGTCACAAGCAATAAATAGAATGATAAAAAGAAATTGAACAATCAAATTTTTTGTCCAATATTTTCGATTTACAAAAGTTTAAACTTTTAAAAGTGTTTCGAAGCGTGTTTTTGATATATCATCGA